TCGGCAATGAACAATACCAGTTCAAACGAATGCCGTTCGGAGGACTATCAGGAGCACCACTTAAATTCCGTCTCCTCATGCTGAAGTTACTCGAGGATGCCCCCGAAGTGGTGGTGTGGCGATGATATTGTTGTCTACAGTCAAACAACAATCGAGCACATGTTTCACCTGGAAAATGTTCTGAAAAGAATCCAAGAATCTGGCCTTCGGATTAATGCATTGAAGTCGCAAATTGAGAAGCTGACGGTAACTGTACTTGGTCGTACGGTTAGAAACGGAGAAAAGAGGCCAATTCTGAGGAAGATTTTCAAGTTAAAGGATTTTACACGTCCAGCATCGAAACGAACACCAAGACGGTTCCAGGGCTGTGCCGCGCACTATAGCCGGTTCGTTAAACATTTTATGATCATCACCGAACCGTTATACGCGTTGCGCAAGAAAGAACACTTTCGATGGATACCAGAAAGCCTTCGATGAACTTCAAAGAGTTATGACTGCACATCATCTGATACTGAAGTGGGCGGTGTTAAGTGAGCGCTTCATAGTTGTGACGGATGTCAAAGGCACTGGATTAGGAACAGTACTAAAAAAACAAGTGGAGTGTTTCAATATGCAAGCAAGGGTCTTAGTCCAACGGAACGAAAACATTCCACCGTGGAGAAAGAAGAATGCCTCGACATCGTAAATAAGCGGTGACCATATCTTCTGGGTTAAAAGTTTCATATCGAATCGGAATACAAGTCACTGGAGTGGATTAGAACCGCCAAGAACCGAGAGGAAAACTAACCCGGTGGGTGATTTGACTGCAGGAGTACGACTTTACGATCAATCACGTTGTAGGTAACGAAAACCACATGGGGAATAGTTTCTAGTCGGAATGTTTAAAGTGGAACAAGACCCTCATAAACTAGTGCAAAGACGAACACCTACGCCGGGTGGTTGGAACAATCTCACAAAACCAACGACATATAAAGTCATGAAAATCTTTATGGAATGAATGCCGCCCGGGGTCTCGATGACTGATAGTCAGGAAGAATTATCTCCTAGACGGTACCAATACATCGGGGTAATGACGGAGCACTTCACACGCTGCATTAAAGCCGTAGGATCAAAAGGCCACTGTGATAAACAAGGTTGTGATGGAGCATATCGTGGTGAATCATAGTGTGCCATAAGCTATCCATACTGAGAGTGACGCATTTCACACTTGCTTACAGAAGTTGGGCATCAAAAGGATAGACACAAATCTCGTTCACCTACAAACCAACAGCCTCATCAAACGACATAGCAGAACAATCAAAGAATGATTGACGGAGAGAGGAAGTGACCGGGGAACGGCGCTACCCTCACTGCTTTTAGCGTACCGTTTGTCCGCGCACACCATTTCAACTGATGTATGGGAGAATTCCAAAGGTGCCAGTAGATCGCGACTTTGGTATGTGGCCGCGAAATGATGTGTCACCTCAACAACTTCAAGAGGCAAGATATGAAGCTCTGGAAAACCTGAGGAGGTTACAGGAAGGCACAATGCGCAAATTCACCATACAAAATAGACGGACGGTAAGTGTGCTCCCGGTTGGATCAGAAATGAAGTAAAAGCGGCATATCAGGGGATTTGTCAGCGGTACTGTTTCGAGGAAATGTTTACCTAAGTGGAAAGGTCCAGCCCACATTGTTGAAGAACGCCATCCCATACACAAAAATACAACGAACGAAAGAAGTCCGGTGTGTGCATCCGAATTATCTTGCAATCTGGTACGAGAAAAGGACTTGAATACTATCCATGCGTAGGTCTCTCCACAGTGCCACGACAAAATACACAAGCACGACGCTACCCGACTTTGAAAACCGAAGATAGACTTAGTTGAAATCGATTATTCGCCGATGCATGCAGCGATTCTTTCGTCGGTGGGAGAACTACTGTGAGTGGGATTGTTGGAGCATGCAAAAGAACATGATTGGCGGATTCTCAAAATGGTCAAAAAGGAACCGGACCTTCTGGAACGAAGAAGTGTTTAAAACTGTAACCATGGACAGAGCACATCTAATAGTGGACCGTCCCATCAAATAACCCGATTGTGTGGAAATTATGGTTAACCTGTTCCGGATGAGACGTTTCGTTCTATGTAATCCAATTTATCGATCCTCTTGACGTTTATCACGCACACGCAGTATTGGCCAGGGAATACCTAAATAAGACGAAGAATCGAACTATCAGGGTAGTTAAAACATAGTAATTGTATTTGCGGGAGAGGGTTTGTGACGTGAATGTTCCACCAGTTTTTATACTAGCATTGTTGAGTCTAGTGTTTTAAACCCTCACCTGACCAGATTTTATTTACACTATCTTATTCGCTCTAGTTCGCTCACTGTACATGACACTACATTACAGCTGTATTTAATGCCGACCTTTATTCACATTTTCGATTTAAGAAATATATTGAGTGGAGTCATTCTCATAAACAGTTCATTTGACCCTTATCTCCATTTCAGTAATCTAGAGCTATCCCCCGTCCGTGAACTCCAGTTGATCCGTTCTGATTACTAATCCTTTCCTGTTGCAATCGGTGAAGCTTTGGAGTATCATGGTGAACCAACCACGTGTACCAAGATTTCTAACTAAACCCGAGCCTGGTTATGTACAAGCGCATCGCGATGACTTGACTTCCCATTGGGCAATCAAACATTTTGTTGTACAGTACTAAGGCATGCTCAATCCAATCACGCCCTTGTATCGTGTGTCTCCAACAACGGGTCAGAAGCCTAGTATTGTTCTCAGTGCATACAACTAGCTAATTGTAAATAGATCCATCAGGACGTACCCCCACACGGATTATTTGTCTGGTACCCCTTATTCACAGATCACAAATAATTATCATGCATATGTTAGTTCCATCTCTATCAATCATCCGGTCGAAGCTTTACATGGTAACGTTGCATAAACGACTCATTGCTATTTAAGTCGTTTGATTCAAAATTGGTTTCCTGAACCGATCACAACATAATCCATTTTTCACTCGCTTTTTCTCTCACACATCTACCATTTGATTGTGCCTTTAAATCCTAACTGCTTTCGTGGGTATTCCCGTAACGATTCAATGTTCTTGTTTTAGTGTGGCTCTCCTAGACGAGTGAGCAGTGAGCAATTATGACCCCGCCAATGTGAGAGGCTCTGGTTAGAGGTTCCCTTCTAGCCATCTCATAACGTGCATACCATTGGTGTCATTTTAGCCTAGTGCCCCGGTAACTGAAGATCTTTAGAAGTCACTAATGTAAGCATTGGAACGAATTGGCAAGTAGCCACTAACGTCTTGTGCACCAAACTGAACTACCTTAAACGTGAGCATCAACATTACTCGATAGATCGCACCGAAAACAAAGTGGTAATCGAAGAAAAAATTAGTGCGTACTTACCGGAAGCTCAAAGCACCTTACCACCGGATGGAAATGATCTATCTGATCCGATAAATAACAAATATTTTTTCTTTTTTCAGAAAGCAGACGTCAAGCATACAAAGGGTATTTGGGAAAATACACATAATGGGATGATGGACGGTGGTGGCGGGGTTTGAACTCAGGACTCCCAGGTGGTTACTTAGATTATCTTACCACTCGACCATCGCCAGTCCAATACACATTGAAAAGTGTCGTTCAGAGCATGCACACTGGATTCAATCATCACTCACTGTACGGTAGCCCCAATCAACTTCATAGCGGTTGACGTCGGTACAATCATTCGGCAAGGCCTCACAAAGGTTGTTTCCGAATCAAACTCCGCATAAAAGGAACAGAATTCGAACCCAAAGAATAGGCATTCAAACGTAAACACTACTGCATCCGTGCTTATTAGGCGGGGTGGATTCAACAATCCGATTGCTCTTATTGGAGCCGCATGTGAGTCACCACATATGTTTCGCGGGACTTCAGTGGCTGATCAATCGCCTGAACAAAGTTAGCTCCAACGTCACCAGGGTCTATCTTTTGGATTGGGCAGTTTAATGAGAATCGTGTCATACGCACATGAAACCAGTGGAGGGCTTCCGCATAGAGTTACATTGAGAGCAACAGACCAATTAAGACCACACAACAAAATACTAGAAATCATTTCACACAATCGACACCACCTCACCCCTGAGTAACAGTTTGGTATTTGCTAGAAGCAGCAGGGAAATATAACTGAGGAATGAACCGGGGCAAAGACATCGGTGAGTCGTACGCTGACTGTGCACAAAGCATAAGCATATGGACCGGTGTTTGAGATTCCTCAAGAGAGCCCAATACATATGTCGAACAAAGTTATTCGGGGATGAACTTCATTAGAAAACGACACAGGTTTCAAATTATTGGTTATGTATTTCACACACGTCTGAAGTCAGACTGTGCCAAGCAAATCACAGTATAAAAATCTTTGGGTCCGAAAATTCAGACGGAATACAAGGAAACTGACGCGGCAATGAGCCCATTTTGCCAGATATCTTTTGTAAATATGTCCAGTTTTAATCAAAGGAAGAATTTAGTATCGCGAGGTTATCGATAAACCAAACTTCTTCGGTATATTACAAACTAATAAATATGCAAGACAAACTGCATTTCCCGGGTCAGAATCCAAAACAACACCAATTCTATCATTGAGAAATTTCACTGCTCACATCATTTCTTTCTCCTACAACCGAAAATAAACAATAAAAGCCTAGTTCGGTACAAATCAGAGTCAATCCGTCACAAAATAAAATGTCCTGTATCGTTTTTAGATGGGAATAGATCATAAAATAGGAAGGTAGCAATTAGAGGATATGGTATCCACAAGAAATATTTCGTTGAGGTTGACAAAATAGGATGAGAGGAAGATAAAAATGAAGGTAAAAAGACGGTGGCATACAACACACACACAATGAAGGAATTCAGGCAAAATGGGTTGTGCCTGTATGCAGGCAGGTCCCCGAATAGTGGCGCAGTTGGTCGAACTTGATTCGGAGCGCGTAGTTTGAACACAGTCTTATTTACAAGCCCTCGAGCATGATAGCAGAAGCACCACCGCCACCGTTGCAAATTGCTGCGACACCATATTGTCCCGGTTTGAGATTCAAAGCCAAGTGGTTTGTGATTCTTGCGCCAGACATGCTGAATAAACGAAAACAAAAGATAGTGGGAAGGGGATATCATAAAAGGTATGCACCAATTTCAGTGGCATATTAACTGTTCAACAACTTCCTTCGTTCCCTAATAGTCTAAGTAGATGTGGAAAATGATGTCATCTAGTTTGATTATAAATCGTATCGCCTTACCGAAATCGCAGTGGCGTAACTACCTTGTGCAGTGACATCCACACTTTATACTCCATGGAGAACAGTGAGATCAAACTCCAGACTGCAAGAAGGTAACTCACTGCCTTTCGTTTGGATACAGTGTTGACGGGACGCCTCATCTGTGCTACATCCGCCAGGTGAGATATAGCTGTCTTGATAGCAAAANTTCTTCCGCTACTACTGCCTACTTAATTAATGTGAGGGTGAGGACTGGGCCAACCCAATTTGTAGCGAAATTGCCATAAGCTCAGACTCGGCTTTGGCTATTAGTATAAATAGATCACAGAACTGAAATTAACTTCTAGAGCACACTCTTTAGAGAGAGGCAATGCCCGAGTTTAGAGTGGTCGACTGAGCCGCTTTCAGATCAAGGAAGACAGAGATGGTGGGTCCGTGAAAGGAATTTCGGTGCTCTGGAATTTGGCTAAGAGTGAAGATGTGGTCGATACAAACTTGACCAGTTCTGAAACCATGCGTGCACTCTTCACATGCAGCGGAAAATCGACGTAGTATGATGTCAGCGACAAGTTTAGGGGCAATGCTGATCAAACTAATTCCTCTGTAGTTCTCACAAGAGGATTTGTCACCTTTCTCGTAAATTGGTTTGATAACCGATTTACACCATTCAGTTGGAACTTGTTCCCTCTCCCATGCTGAGCCCAGGAGTTTCGCTAACTCCAAGATTAAGGCTGAACCTTCACTCTTGAAACACGATGGGAAGAGCCTGTCCAGGCCGGAGGCCTTATACCTTTTGAGATACTTGACTTCCCCTGTAACTTCCAATCACGATAGAGGAGTGATATCTACTGGCAGTAACT